CTATAAGTCGAAAGGAGACTGCGACCATACTCGAGGCCACAACATCTTGGTCTTCACATCTTCAATCATACTTTTTATAGTTCAAATTCTACGATGGGATTGTCTATGAAGCAATATTATATTTGGTGTAGCAATCGACGACCATACTTATTTTTATTTTCTCTTTAGTTTTTCAAGATTAACAGTATATTACATATATGAGATGAGGTAGTCTATAAAACCTACTTAAAAAAAAGTAATGTAATCAGTTGCCATAGCAAATATAACTTTGCCTCTTCGACAATCCCACCACAGAATGTGAAAATATCTGGCTTTCCCTGAAGTTCACATCTGCCATGTGAACTAAGTGCCCTAGCGTCAATGTGGTGTAGTGGTTAACGTGTTGAGATTATATGCTTAGGTGACATGGTTCGATTCTCGCTGGGGTGTTAATAAGACCTAGGCGAGGGCGAAACTGCAGTCTACCCTTGATGAGAAGACCTTTTGGGAAGCGAGGTTATTTGAAATTCAATGGAAACGTAAGGTCTACATATTTGATTGTAGGAAACTTCAATTACCAGTCCTCCATCATCTTAAATGAAATATGGTGAACACAACTAATATATATGATTTACTGGTAGTCTGAAAAATTTACTTTCAAACGAAAAATAAGAATAAACCCAAAATTAAAACTGGGTGTGACCTTAAAATACGCCACAAACCAACCGGCATAAGCCGCTGCAGTGTTAGAGGTGAACATCAACCGACTGACTCCAGGCTGGGAAGTAGTTTGGGCTGAGGCGGCTAACTGAGCTGAAGCGACTGGTGAAATCATCAGCCCTGCAGCCTGGGCTGCGGCAGCTGCTGCCATGCTCAGCTGCAGGCCAGAAGGCGTAGAGCTGTGTGCACCAAGCATACCTCCTGACAGACCGGGAGTGACTCCGGTGGTGTTGATAGAAGAGACAGAAGTAGATGACTGTAGACTGCCACTTGTTCCGCTGCTGTTGACACTAGATCCACTATTACTACTGCCAGGAGGGAGTCGGGGTGGTGGGGATTTCGGCCTCAGACGCTCAATTTCCTCTGTGGAACCCAAAAGGCCACCGTTTTGTTCTTGGTTAAAATAGGTTTGATAGAGTGTGGGCTCGAAGTTGCTGGCAGAAAGCTCCCTTCCTACAGTTAACCAGCCCTAAAAGGCGAAATAATATAAGAGTAAAGAGAAGTAATAATTTAAAGTAATATGATTAATATTCTGGCCAAGCCAGTCATCATAATCCTCCGTGGATATGGAAAGAATTCTTTCGAGAAATTCTCATCGATATTTCTTTTCAAGCTTAGTTAACTTATTGAGCTTACTTCAATTTCGAATAAAAGTATTTGGCGAAGATATTCGAAGGTCAATCCTACAAGAAGAAAACAGAGGATTCCTCTTGACTAGGAGTTAATTGACTTTATTGGAACATTTTTGTTGATGCTGTTTGAGGCAAAGTCCTATGGTTCCGGTTATCAGATGAAGGACATCAGCGAAACATTGTAGCATTATTTCAAGCATACTTAAGCTAACCAGTCAAGAAAAATCATCCCCTTATCATTATATAGGATATCTGATGAGGTATAGAGTGATATATCACCTCAAGCTATATGTCAAATTCGAAGCATGTGCGTGTCTGTGCGTTTAAATGCCTTTATATGTCAGTATATGTACAAAATTAGCAGTGATAGATCAAAGAAATTAGAACAAAACTAACATCTATTCCTGGTCACCAAAGTTTGATTACCACCCTTATCCC